ATGCTAACTGTGTTGGCTGTTAATCTAAGCGGATTCCGGGACTACAGTGGAGCAAACAGTAAGTCCTTATTTTCATATTTAAACTACTATCTGTTTTACCATTATTATTAGTATCATTATTATTATTATTATTTCGACAGCTCCACCAACCATCCAAATAGGCTTGTAAAGCAACGCTTCCTAACCCCTATAAATTTATTGTTCATTGTGTTGGTGATATGAATTTAGCTGTATCGTTGCTAGGTGCTGCCACATTCAGATCCTGCGTACTAGGAATGTGCAGGCAGCTGGAAATTAGATGCGTTGTCGTATTATCCACCATTGAGTAATACAAAAAAAGAAAATGTCAACAGATGCATGCCAGCTTAGTTTCCAATACCGGACAGCATCGTTCTGCAAAGCTACCAGCCGGATACTATGCAGCAAAAATTTTATTGTGCCAAGTCATATGCTAAAATTAAGATCGTTGTTGGAGGATGAGGCTAAGAGCGATGTGGAGGAACAAAGGAACTCGCAGCATGAACCTCATTGAGGTCGGTTTCTAACCATGTCAGCAAGTATATCCAGTCAAACATGTTCATCATCTTTCGGACCCTAACCAGGGAGCCGGGACGCTCCAACCGAGGCCACTTTCGTAAAGCAGGCCTTCATTCCTCTTGACCAAATCATCTCCTCTTCCATCCACACCCCCGGCGCGCAAGCAACACACGTCGCGGGAGTCCGTGGGCTGGCATGCGTAACACGTGGCGCAGCCCTCTGAGCCTGGTGCGTGAGATGACGGTGCTGAGCGGTTCATTTCCTTTGTTTGTACCGTAAACAAGGAGTCGAACACGCTCGTTGCTTACCCGGTCTTCCCACCAGATGTGAGCCAAATTGCGAAAGCACCGGTGGTCGAACGTAACTGGCCCCTTCATATCCGCTTTTCTAATGGGCTAGGTTTCGCAGCCGTATAGTAGGGTCGAACGTACCGTTGCATTGTACACTCTACCCTTCAGGGCAAGAGTGATGTCGCGCCGCCGCCATAGGTGGCGAAGGTTAGCAAAAGCACCTCGAGCTTTTGCTATACGGTTCTTGATCTATTCTTCGATCCCACGGGCGCTGATACAACTTCTGAATGACTTTTAGCTGATCCCCACCAAGGGTCAGCATAACAGGCGATCCCTGCCAATCTTGGAGGAAAACTTTCCACTTCGATGATGCAAAGCAGAGCCCTAAGCGGCTGACAGCCAGTGCTAATCTGTTCAGCGCGGCTTGGCTCGTCTGGGAGCTGTCACAGATGAGGGCGATATCGTCCACATACTCCATGTCAAAAAGTCGTTCTCCTGGGAGTAGCATCATCATCAATCATCATCATACACGTTAGCTAGAGGTGGGGAACACCTCAGCTACTGTGCCGCAATACAGAAAAAAGGAGAAAAAAGTGCAACTGGTGCAAGCTGGCTGAGCTACCGGTAACGGATGGGCATCGTTCCGGTAAGCTACCAGCCGGCTGCTGTGCACCAAAAAGTTACTATGCAAAATTATATAAGGCTAACTAATGAGATCGTGGTTGGAGGGGGAGGCTAAGAGGGATGGGGTGGGACAAAGAAACTCACAGCACGAACGCCACTGAGGTCGGCTCCTAGCCATATCAGCAAGTGTGTCCAACCAAACGTGTTCATGGTCTTTCGGACCCCAACCAGGGAGCCGAGACGCTCCAACCGAGGCCAGCTCAGAAGTGAGGGTCTTCATTCCTCTGGACCAAGTCATCGCTTGGCCACCCCTCCTCTTCTTCCATCCACACCCCCGGCGTGCAAACAACACACGTCGCGGAAGTCGGTGGGCTGGCATGCGTAACACGTGGCCGAGCCATCGGAGCCTGATGCGTGAAATAACGGTGCTGAGCGGCTCAGTCCCTTTTCCTGTGCCATAAACAAGGCGTCGGACACGCTCGTTGCTCACGCGGTGTTCCCACCAAATGTGAGCTAAATTACGAATGCACCGGTGGTCGAACGTAACTAGCCTCTTCAGGTCCGCTGCTTTAAACGGCCAGGTTTCACAACCGTACAGTAGGGTCGAACGTACTGCTGCATTGTACACTCTACTTTTCACGGAGAGAGTGATGTCGCGCCGGCGCCATAAGTGGCGAAGGCTAGCAAAAGCGTTTGTGAGCTGTCACAGATCAGGGCAATATCATCAGCATACTCTAAGTCAAGAAGTCGTTCTCCTGGGAGTAGCTCCACACCTTCTAGGTGGTGTCCTGTGAGTGCAATCTCCATGAGTTCGTCAATTGCGAAGTTGGAGAGGAAAGGTGGCAATGGGCATCCTTGTCTTACGCCGCTGGAGATACTGCCACTTGACGTTCTCCAGTAGCTGGCGAGGGATGGATCCAAGTAGGTCACGTTGCCATAATTTTCCGGTGGCGTGGTTCCATCCTGGAATACAGCTCACTCTGGAATACCTGCTTCGACTCTGATAGTGGTTTGGTACGCTGTCGTTTTTCCATGAACGTGACCGGGAAGCGCACTAAGCGCATCCGTCTATTTTCAACCGAAGTTATCCCATCATTCGGTCTGGCATGCCTACCAGCATACCCGTCATACCAAGCTGTCCCTCTCGCTTTAAGGACACTGAGCTTCAGCGGAACACGATCCCGGCCACTATGCATGATACGGGAGCCTCTGTTCGCAGAACTATCAGTCTTCACCACACTAATCACTGGTAATTTGGGAGGACGATGAACGTGTTGGAATGCAAAGGAAAACTGGCCTCTTCCTCTGAACGCAATATAACTGGATGGGTCATTAGGCGCGAACTAAAGCGGAGCCTACATACCGACAGCGAAGCAAGATGGATTAGTAAAGCTCGAAAATGGAGGAGACGGGAGTATTTAGGAATTACAGCAAGCTCTTCCAACTGATCCGCACCCTTGGTTTCATGAAACCGGGCGTTAGTGTGAACATCGATGACAGCACGCGCGCCCTAATTGACGATAAGAAGCGCCGTCTGGCTCGTTGGTTGGAACACTCCAGAGCAGTTCAGTTGGTCACTATTTCTGTACCCCTTCCTGACCAGATGGTGCAGGTTGAGCAATGGACTTTTAGTTTAGCGTCTCTATCGGAGGCTGAGGTGCGAAACGCGATCATAGCTCTCAGTCGTTTTCGGGCTTCTGGCTCGGATTTTCTCGCACCCGCATTATATGTTGGTGGTGAGGTCCTTTGCTAAGCAGTGATTTCCCTATGAACAGCTCTGGAAGGAAGAGACCATCCAGGCTAACTGGAGCGAATCGATCAAAGTGGCATTATACAAGAAGCGCAGTTGCACTGACTGTGCTAACCACAGGGGTATTAGCATAATACCGGTGGTGGCAAAATCACTGGCCTCAATTCTCGTTCGAGCAAGTGCACTTCTCAGCACCGTTATTTTACACACTAGGCTCCGATGGCTGGACCGTGTTACGCAAACCAACATTGCGGACTCTCGCAACGTGCGTTATTTGCGTGTTCGGGGAGTGGAGGTTAGCCGATCTGGAGATTCTCGTCCTCATTGTAGGGGTGTGAAAAACTATGAAAACTTATGGTTGAATGCACTTCTTGACATGCCGTAGAACCGATCTCAGTGATGTTTGTGCTGTGATTTCTTTTGTCCCTACCCTCCAACCATGTTTCATCCATGATGCATAGTATGGTTACATTTCCTTCACTATCGCTTATTTTTCACGGTTTTTATTGTATTGCGGCTTAGTAACTGCGATGTTTCTCGCCTCTAGGCGGCGTGTTACTTTAATGAGGAAAATACACCTGAATGCCAATTAACAGTTTGAAGCAATAGGAACGACCTGAAACTGGTTGATTATACGCGAGTTTCTTGGTACACTTTAAACGATTCAAATGACCTACGGCAACCGGATGCCCACAAATACTCTTCCTCATTGCGCCATAGGGTGTTGAACAGAGCAGCCAAATCAAACAATGGCGAAACTCCTGCATGTTTGAGCAACAATGATAGTGGGCTGTCGCATCGATTGCATCTGGTCGACGGTGGGGATTTCTTACTCATTCTTCTGGGTGGGTTTACGTTATCTGTCTCAAGTCGGATATACCAGGTCGACTGAGTTATTCTTCCAATTGTTAGGTCCAACACTTAGGCTTTCGTGATGAAGTAAACGCTAACCTAAGACACTTTTTTCATGTGAAAGTACCAGAGTTGACGACTGTCCTTTAGCAGTGTTGGAAATGGATAATCAAACCTATTGATTATCCAGCCGTCCATCCTCCTCCGAAGTCATGTTTGCTGTCCGAAGCTTTTCTCATTCCTGGTCTTCGGAATATGTAGAAGTCCTGCTACCGTTTCTGAAAACACAGGGTTTGTCGTTCTCACAGATCCCTGCTACCGTGTCCTTTCCTTTGCGTGCAACTGAAACCTCGTCGTCAGACTGTACCTAAGGTGTGTTCTACTATTCCTTTCGACCACTCGTGTGCGAGACTGTATGATATGCGCGTTCTTACCGGTTGTAGTGATGAGGTAGGGAGCCCATTCCTAGAAGATTCTCATTCCGTTTTTATTTCGTCCTGATTATCATGCAGCGTGCAACTCGACGCAGGTGGTAGCCACTGCAAAGCATCGCATATGCTCATTCGTCTCCAGCGGTGCCTCATGCTCCGCGCCACATAGAGTGAAATTATAGCATAGTGACTGCTGACACGCAAGCTTACGCTTTGCGATTACAAACTCACCTTTAGCCTCACAACTGGGCGCATGTATGACCATGCTTGTCGTTACGCGCGGGTTCTGAAGGCAACATTTCAAGGCCATGCATTGCGTCAAGGCCTCACCGAACTTCACCGTCTACTTCACTTCCTTGTGTTTCTGTAGGCGCATTTTTACGTGTACGTGCAATTTCTTTGTTCATGCTCATTGTACGTATGCTTTTACTCGAAACTCAGCCAGCTATTTTGAGTTCGTCTTCTGCGCACCCATTGCTTGATTATTTCCGCTGCTGCTGTAATTTCCATTAATAGTCGCAAGAGGTGACGCCTTTGATTGCATATCTAAATCAACGTGACGCTGAGACGAGGCGCAGAGAAGATGAGGCTAACCGACAGAGGAAACCGTTTAAACAGCATATCGGCGGGGGACAACGGAAAATCTCACGTGGCGAACTTCCAGCCCGCGCTCCACCGTCTTCGGCTCGTCGTGGTGCAGAACCTAAGAGAGGCTTTGGCTCATATCATTTACGAGATTCGAAGGGATCTCCTGCAAAACTCGAGGAGGACGGTGAAAAGTCAATGAGAGACGGAAAATCTACAAAGACTGCCAGTCAATCGGATCTCTATTATGAGGAATTTCCAGCCATGCAAGGAACACGTAAGCTGTCGATTCGTTTTATTTCTGTTTGTGGTACTGAAAACTCCGTGTCGCTCCTGCTGTCGCGCCACTAACTTGCTTCTCTGTTTACAGCTAGTTTTGTGTGTCGGACCTCACCCGCATCGCACTGCACTGCATAGATCGCGGGAACCCATACACATCTGTTTGAGCATGTGTCCTAACCTTGAAGGATGCGTTGCTCACTGAGGTCAAAACTGAACAGATAAAGACGTGAACGACCTGCCTGTGTTTCTGGTACGATTCCAAATTCAGTTAGACGATCATACAATGTGCGAAAAGATGCGAAAACGGCAATTGATTACGAAGCTAAATAGCATTATATATCATTAATCGGTTTCAATTGCGGTTCCAATGACCACATCTACAGTGGTTTACTTTGGAAAAATCCACAGTTCATGTTTGGATTGCATATCGCAATATACTCAGACACAACATGAGCTTCAAATGAACCTGCTTTTGTTTACCTTCAGTAATCGTTGTCCGCGGCCAGATGATTTTTACATGTCGGTTTTCAGTCGCAGACCTGCAATCTCTACCCGATAAGCACAAACAATCATAAAACGAATCGTGAAGTGCGGAGCTTGGGAGGCAGCAACGCGCATGTACTCTATCTGCTCCCGTTCTATTCCCATTTGAGATAGCTGGCCGAAGTACACTTTAAATCACATTGTGGTCCCAATTAATATGGTGTTCTCAATCCATCCATACAACGGATACTCTGAATCACTCGAACGATATGTTCCCACCGCCTCCATTGTCGGTTCTTGCACGTTCCGTTAATATGCTAGCACCTGCATCAATCCCTTTTATCTACGTATCCAGTCGCATACTAAGCCGAGATCTATCTCCACCACGGCAATAGAACACTGTACTGCATAGTTGCATCAATTTTGACCTCTATCGAAGACAGACTTCTCCGTTTATTCTTCCCACACGCTCCTAGCTAGCTACTCGTTCTGTGTTCCGATTTTTGTGTGCCATCGACAACTTATTTTTGTATGCATGTGAAACGTACTCTGTTTCTAACTACTTACACGTCTTATAGCTTTAGTAAATTCCATCGTATTTTCCTGAATTTCACAGAGCAACGTACCACAAGGCCTAATTTAGGCCCATGGTCTGATCGCCCTACTGTATGGACTGGTAACGCACCGTGCTCCGAAAAACGCGATGAGAAATCCCTCGATGGCCGCACTACTCCCCGACACGATCCTGAGTCAACCGATTCTTCCACCCCCACGCCACCTGCTTCTGAGCATGCCTCATTTAAGCCTGATGCAACGGGTGAGTCACCAAAGTTGACACGCCGTGTTCCACTGGGCAAGGACCGCAAGTCGTACGACTCCAAAGAGAGGACTATGAGTGAATCTGCGTTGTGCGATTCATTCACTGCGACAGAATTCTTCTCTCCAGAGGCCGGGGTCCCTACTCGCGAATCCGCATACCGTGGTAGACGCGGCAATTACTTCTCAACTCGCGCCATGACTGGCTTTTCTGGCCACACTCGGAAGCCCGGAAAGCCCATGCGAGGACGCCGTGATTCAGACGGTGGCCTTCCTCTGCATGAGTTCGTAGACTCGGAATCGCCTACGGAAAATGGATCGAAATTATCTTCGAAGTCTTTGAGTGGCAGAATCCGCAGAGGTTCTGTGAAGACCGGAAATCCTATGTCAGAATCCGAGAGCTCAGGCTACTTCCGTGGCAGCGGGAAGTGAGTTAGGGGCACTTGCGATGGTATGCTTGTTTGGAAACTCATATTACTACCGTATGTGTTCACCCATCACACTGAATGATCTTGTCGCATTCATCGTTTTTTAATCGATTTATACCCACCGCTTATATCTCTAGTTGCTCCTAATGTTGTGACGTGACGATCAGTGGAGACTGGTGCTGTTTTAAACTCACTTTACGGCTCCCGCAGTTAGGCGAGTTAACAGGTATTTCAGCCCAGTGTACTGGCAACCAGAATGCCTTCCTACAATGGGGACACAACGTAGCTCTTGTCCTCTGTACTAAACACGATTTCTTTCCGGCTGCATCACCCATGAATTTTTCATTCCCCCGTTCGAGTCGGTTGGTTTCGCGAAAGATGTTCGTCTCTTAGTTCCAGCCGTCCGCTTTTAGGAGGGAATTGTCTGTATTGCTTGAATCATCGTCTGCCATCTGCACGCTAGCGGTCCAGTGGACTTATGGGGCGGATCACTCTCCAGCACACTAACATCCCTTGATCTTTGATCGCACTGCACCGGCGATCAAGCAGACGCCGGCGTTTATAAACAATCTTGATGTCATCAGCAACTAGAAAGAGTTGGCCATTTTTGACGGACATGCCAATGACATTGATGCAGAGGTAAAAAAGCAAAGGTCCAAGTACAATTCCTTTAATGACGCCGCTGGTTATTGGACGAGAAGAGTGCTGACCACCTAAGGCGACTATTTGAGACCGGTTGTTAAGGAAACATGGAAGCCTACCTATGATTATTATTTAAATGAGTGCAAGTGCAGCAACGTTAAAGACTCTGGATGGCCAAGCTAATTTCTCAATTTCAAAACGGTCATCTTCATGACGGTGATGTGATCCCCACCATGATGGGGATCACTCTTATGTCCACTTATATCAGCTGTTGTAGGTCAGCAAGCGTCTATTTAGGACGCCGAAAAGTAACGATCGCTGAACCTCGCTTAGACGGCCATTGTTTTTTCTTTTTTTCTTTCCATTTCGTTTGCAGTACTCTTACTCCAGCCGTCTCCGATGCTTGTTCACGCTATTCACTCACCTCAGGCTCGGCTCTCTCTGGACATTTGTGACAATGGCATCCATCTCACAACGAGGTTTTAGTGTGTTACCTATGACATTTTGCGTGCTCTCGATGGTTGTGCTAGTTTCAGCCAGCCGCCTACGAAATCTCCGTTTTGTATTTTTTGCGCACCTAAGGTGTCTTAATCATTAACCAGAAATATATAACATCAACGTCATACGCCTGAATGGTGATCACTTCGGTTTCTGTCAGTAGATGGCATCTAACTACATAAGTGTAACATCCAGAAGTTAATAAAATGGAATGCCATACTTCGGATTTTCTAGATGTACAGACACAGTGCCTGTCACTGTTCTAGGCAGTCTGGTTTACAACCAAGTTGAATAATCTTACCGCGCTGTCGGCGTTTCTTCCAATCTAACGTGATCTACACAAACAGGGGATGGTGCACACAGGGGATGTACCTGACTTACAAAATTCAGTCCTCAGGTTGATGGTTCAGAACTGGCACTGAATTAAGGCTTGGCCGAGGACTTGCTACTTAGTGTGCTTGATCAGTTGCCTTAAAAATTAGTCTTGATGTTCCTTCTTGAATGGTAGCAATTGATAAACCGGTTTCTTATCCAACGAGATCAACTTTTTCTTTCCCATCATTCCATCTTTATCTAAATGAACTTTTCCGGATATCTATTTCTCTCGAGTTTACACATAACCACTGAAGTAAGTTCACGTATTGCTAGGCCGGGACTGTCTTCTTGTATCTGCGACATTCCTGACGTCAGAAAGAGGTTTCCCTCAGTCTAAAAGGCGTGTTTACAAGGCCACAGCGAAGCTCGTCCTACTCTATGACAGCGAAACTTAAACATCTTCAACCTGAGGCACCTTCAATTCTTTGTCCATCAATGTCTTTTGAGTTTGTTAGTGTCGGGTAGCACCAGCGTGTCCGCAACCATGATGTGCGTAGGCGAATACTAGGCAGTGTTATCCAAGCTAGTTCCTTAGAATAACTGATAACACTGAATATGTTACGTTTGTTTGGTCGCGTACTACGTATGCCTAATCATCGTTTACCGTGGAAGGTCTTGCATCATCTGCCAGCTGTAGTGTGACGCAAGGCCAGAGGTGGGTAAAGGTTGACTTGTCAGCGGAATATGAAGTGACTGATGACCCGACTGGGTGCTGTCGGTCCGTCTCGCACTCCAGACTGGAGTCCACGTGATCTGCCTTGTGTTTGGCTCGAAGCGTTACAGCACATGATTCGCATTTGACATCGCAACGAGACTGGACTTTAACGTGCTCGGATGGTTTGTGTACCCCTGTGACCCATCGAGCTACGCTGGGTGGCACTTTCATGTGCCTTCAGAGCCACTCATACCAGCTAGGTTAATCGTTAGGGAGCAGACTAACTCAGTCTCACAATCGCTCCACTGCCTTGATGGCAGGCTATTTAGCCAAAGGCTCGGGGTGGAGTTCCCTAAGACAACTCCCTACTTTGGATTGGGCAACCGACTAGTACTACGCCCACTGACAAAACCATGGACTGTTCAACTGCAATATCCCTCTCAGTTGCTTTTGCTCCTGCTCCTCACTCACCTTCACATGCCACCTGTTCATGCGTTACCAATCAGTAGTATCCGTTAGCAAATGATTCTTGTTTCCATGATTATACTTCGGATGGTTTCGTCGACACTCAGAGAGCTCTCCCAGTCGCACTCCTTCTGCTTCGGTCTTCGTTCCGTCTGGCTTACTTCAATGTACGTACACTCGAGCAGCAAGCTGGTCTTGCGCACACCCTGGTATCCCTCGCCACCGATGTTTGCTGTCTTTCCGGAACGCGCTTACAAGATCCCAGTACTGTAATTGAGTTGAGATCTCCCACCGACCACGGAGCCATATTTCACTTATGTCTATCTGGTGACGCAGATGCAGCTGCGGCAGGCTTGACTGGCGTTGGTGTAGCGCCAAGTAGCAAAACCGAGGCAGCACTGCTTGTGTGCAGTTCGGCTTCCGGGATGTCATGATGAGAGATACAACTTGTTTGTGTTCTTAGCTTACGCTCCAACTGGTTGCAGTTCCGACTCCGTTCGATTTCTACCTTGAACTTCATCAGCAAATCCGACATTGTTGTCCTTGCTGGGGATTTCAACGCACGGGTCGGCCGTCTGCTGGCATGCGAAAGTCAACTCGGTGGTCACTATGCGCTCGAAGAGAGCTGCTCAGATAGTAGAGAGTGACTTCTCACACTGTGCTAAGATAATCCTCTTTTTCTCTCGTGCACCAACTTTCGGCATTCGAGGAGACGTTCCACTACTTGGCGACCCCCTTCTGCGTCTCAATCGTGGTCTCAGATTGATCATATCGCAATCAGTTTCAGATGGAGGGGTAGTGTAAAGGATTACAGGTTCATCTGGTTCACTTTTCTTGACTAAGACCATGCTCTTGTTTGTGCGAACATCTGCGTAAGTTTCGGAGGGTCCCCGAAAATGAAGTGCTGTATGGTAGACACAAATAAACTATCTACTGTTTCAGTTCAGGAGAGTTATCAAGCTTCCCTGGTTGATGCACTTGGCTGCGACCCACCGCAAGGTATTGATGAACACTGGATGTGCATGCAGAGGACCATGCTGTCTTCCGGACAGCAACTCTGTGGTTTTACCCAGCACCCTATGAAGGCCTGGATCTCCACGTGCTTGTTGGATTTATTTGCTCTCAGTAGTAATATGCCAACGGTGTCTAATCATGATGAAATGCGCCGTTCGGTCAGTCGGCAGCTCAAACAAAGCCTACGCAGTGACCACGATGTCTGGTAGTTCCAGCGTACTTCGGAAATGGAGGCCGCATATCGTAAACGCTTGTCCGGCTATCCAATCGGCATGCCATCAAAGGGTAGAGTAAAATCCATGGCTTCGCACGCGATTGCGTAACCCCCTCCCGAAACGTAGGTGCAGGCATGCGAGCATTTTCTCTCCACCTAATTTGCCGATCGGACAAGCGTTACAGATAGCGGTGTTTCCTATATGCGCGCTAGTGCGTCGTTGAAAGGTATTAATCATGGCGTATTGCATGGATAGATTCAGACATATCGAACTCACCGTAGACTCAGCATTCAGGTACCAGCTGTGCATCGGCCGATAGACCTGAAAATCGATGGTTGCCCAAGCTTGTTTATAACTCTACCGGACGATGGCGGCTCAGCAAGAGGAATGCCGTCTCTTGTAGTAGGGAGCAATCCTACCCCATGCATCTACGGAAGGCGCATGACTATAGAAACTGTGGTTCGTTGCGTCCCAGCAGCAGCTGCTGCTCATCTCCCCTGGTCCAGTGGTCCCAAGTTCCAACTTCTTACTGAGCAGATGGAATGTACACTATTGGCGAATCCCGTCTGTTGCTTCTGATGTACAGTGATTGGCTGACCGAATGTGTTTTCGACGCATTTCTTTTGTGATTCAATCCAGCTCATCTCTTCCACTACTTTCCAATACCGAACGGTTGCCAAAATCGTTTGAGTCGGATCGATGACTCAAAGTTGGTTCGGTTTGGTGCGATCGAAGTAGAAAGTTACACAAACAAATATGAGATAGCCATGGGTGAAGTCGAGCACATAACTATAAAACCAACTGATGATTTTTGGACAAAGAGAGGACAAGTCACAAAAATCAGCGATACCGTGACTCTATATGGGTTCTTTTATCGTGTAGCTGTATCGGTTGGCGAGTAACCGCTGCCCACTAATATGTCGGATTTTCGAACTATAAACGGACACTTAATTTCACTGTCAGTCACGGCTATCCCTAATCTAAGTGCGGCAGTTTGCACTGCCTGGATTGCAACATCACTCATTAATATCCACGGTTGCTACTCTTTATTCCACTTTGTATTATTTTGAATTTAAGCGAAACCACGATGGCTTTTACTTCCAGGAACCCAGTGTAATGTCACCTATATAATTTCTTTTTCACATGTGCACTAGGATACACTGTTCTTTGCGGTCACCAGATGACGCTTCTTAATAACTTTCACATTGTTATAAGTTTACTCAACTGCAATAATCGAGCAGTTTTTAATGAGCCGTTTAAAATCAGCAACTATCTTACAAGTTACTAATCGACTCCGAGTTATCCCGTTATGTCCCACTATTTTGAAATTCATGTAGATTATTTGGGTTATTGGAATGCTGCCGGAATCTGCTAATCACTTGATCGAATTATTAGCGGTCATTGCTTTTGGACTTAACGTATTTGGCATTTTCGGTTTTATACCCTGTATTTTCAGAACTTCATACCCGAACCAATGGAATTCCGGGTCCGCATATCCCCCAGATTCACTCGATGATTATCGGCAGGGTTACGGAAGTGATCAGTCTTACAACCTTACGCCAAGACGAGGTAGCTGCAATCCGTCACACCGTGGTCGGGCTACTTCTGGAACTGGCACTAGTCGCCGTCCGTTCAACTCTAAAGCTAGTGGCCGGTCTGAATCCTGACGAATTGGCTCATCCAGTTGTGCCTAGAAGTGCTTCAGGCGCTCCAGCCTGTGTGCGCTTGTGGTGCACAAGAGCAGAGATCTCATCTACACACCAGTTTCTGATGTTTTCGTCTCTGCCTTTCTGAAATTTCCTTCGTTCAACCCTTTAACTACTACAGTATGGTTAGCAGACTCCACAAAATGTATATACGATAATTACATGATTATGCTCTTTGTATATCACTCATCTTGTAAACAAGTGTTTCACTGTTGAACATTTCATCTGGACTGTCATCCGTTTTAGTTGATGTGCGGGCGGGCCCAAATGGAATTCCCCTGATAGCGAACAGGGCGCTTCCCAATGGTGTCTATCGTATTCACATATCAACATTTGACTTATCCGTATCCTGCAAACAATGGTATGTGGTAAAAGTTTTAGCTCATCCTCAGGTGGACACGGACGTACATGCAGACGCCTTCATCCGATCTCGTTGTGGTTCTGATCTCAACAGCATTTGCTTATCAACGTTTGGGAGCTTGCCGCTCGTCGAGCATTACAGAAATCTGCATCTGGCTGTTGTATTTACAAGATCACATTAACCGATCTAACGTGATTTAAATGCCGGATCCTTTCGTTACTTTGTTGTCGCGTTTTAAAAGCCACATCTACATCCGCAATATTGTTTCGTTTGGCATATCTCATTATGTTAATCCAAACAAATACACTTTCATTCTCGACGATGCGAGACACGCATGCAACGGCATGATCGGATACTCATCTAGAATGTTGATCACAGGTGGACCAGTAAAATGGGAATTAAACTCAGGTAATGGCAGCGAAGGTGTACTAAATGGTTGGCGGAAATGAAATGATGTTCACTGGCCTTTAACCACTCTTACACATATTTTATTATTAAACAGCTAACTCACATGAGAGACTATAACGGCAAAACATGCACTGCGTCATATAAAACATGGACCTTGCTTGGCTTGTAGTTATAGAACAAGCAAACAATTTGTTCATATTTTGTACAGTCAGCAACTTATTGATACTCTTGCGAAATTAGTGTTCGGGGGTGTTACCACGTATTCCGAGTTGTAGCTTGTTCCAAACTCTGTTAATGAAAATGTTTGTAGACTTGCTGGTGCTACACGTGCATTCTATCACTGCATTATGTTTCTCGTGTGTTGCAGACGACTGATTGCATCTATGTCAGGTTGTGGTTGTGCAGGATGTAGTAAGGCATAACTCGGTTATGTTTCATAAGTATCAAGTTCGAGCTTATCATATCGTTCAAAATATTCCAGTTTTGAGGTTGCATCTAGAAGGCGTTTTACGAATGTCATCTCTGTACTTATTCTAGTGCAATGCTGTCGCGCTTCTCTGAAGTGCTAAACGTGGGTCCAACAACTGATATACAATAAGAAAGTATTGAATTTTGTGGAGAAAAATGTAAGTATCAATCCAATGTTGTATCTTGCCATTGCGATGGCATATCCTACTTGTTCGCAGAAGTCAATTGAGCATGAATATCGCAATCCCAGGTCGCTTACCGTATGGTGGAGTTTCAGTAGTATGCCACCAAGAGTCAGGCTGTTATGTGTTAAATCGCACTTTTCTGACATTGTGCAATATGTGTCAGTAGATAAAGACATTTTACACTTTGAGCACCAAATTTCGGTCATTGAGCTCAAGTTGGATCATGTTGAGAGCATCATTTTCCCTATCCGGACAGAGCGTATACCATTTTCACGTTAACCTCAGCGATATGGTGTACCGAATTTTGCTACGTCTAAAATATTGTCGACATATACAACAACAAATTGTCGATGTTTGTGGGCAGATAGATGCTCCTTTCTGATGCTTCCGATTTATTCTGGCATAGGTAGGAGACAGAAGTTAGGCCAGGTAACCGGTCTCGTCTATCAACTAGGCCATTGTACGCGATTCTCAATAGAGGACCATCCAAACTTTAGACACAGCTCGGTGCGCGGTCAACTCGACCACTCTCTTGAGGTAATGAACTCATTTTGGAAATAATAAGTTCACCAAGGTGCCGATACCTTTCCTGGAAATGGAGAATGAGCAGATGTTGGATAAAGGACCTTGTCACACGTCATATTAGTTTGCTTTTGGCGTTATGAGGTGTTCTCAGTCGCTTGTATTTTGCCGCACCCATCACTCCACTTAACAGTCTACGATAGACCATTTAACTTGTTCAGCCTTCGTGGATCTGACTCTCGTGACCAGTCCAGCATTCGATTTTTCTGCACCTACACAGTTACTTGTATGTGAACTGCTGCTCCGATCTCGTTAACGAGTGTTTTGATCATCGGATTACTATAGTCTTCCGGGTCTTCCACTTCTGAAAACGGCAACCGACCGAGATTATCGCCATGTATGTGGTACTGGTCGAAATGTCCTTAGGCGAGCGATGCGCGTCACTTTGACATTCCTCCCAAAACTTACCGTTCAGTTCATCAGCAAGCAGCTATCTTTTATATATATATATATATATATATATATATATATATAGCGGCATCCGGTTTCGGATTTGCCTATCACTGTGGCCAGCCCCAGGACGCCTGCGCCTACAGAGGGACTATGGGTGGCTTGCGCTGTATTTGGGGAATCAAGCGCACACAAGGCGGTGGCTGGACCGTAGTCCGCTCCACACTGAATGCATGGAACCACTCTTCGAGCTTAACACGACGACAAGGACCGTGCGCCCCCACCCCTCCAGCAACAACCAACTGTCTCCTGAAGCCAGTATGAACGAGGTAGTGGGTAATAGACAAGTAGGCACCTTATCAACATGCACATCAAGCGCAGCCACACCGGGGATTTCAAACGACAGCCAATCACTTGAAATGATATTATCAACTGCAATATATCTGTTAAAGCATATGGCTATGCTGACATATCTCTTCGCTTAATTAACATGTGAAGTAAGTTGGTTAACATCGAATCCGCGATAAATACAAAATTTCCACAAGTTATTCAAAAAATGCCACACGCGATAAATTTAAGGATAACCACAATGAGCTTAAGCAACGTGTGCAAGTTAATAGAAGATTATTCAAGTAGGCTGAAATTTGTCCAGCCTAAAATGACCTAGGTTAAGTGTAAGTTGGTTTAGCCCAACTACCTGTGGCACAAATATTATGCCACAGGAGAAATGGCGGAATAGGGAAACGGTATGAATAAGAAGGAAAAAACATACACCGCAACACACCAATGCATACGTCCATCACTGACATCCATTCTGAGCCATAGCTTCCACGGTCTCCAACCAGCCATTATCCGCATCTCTCGGACCCCGACCAAGCAGTGGACAACAACCGGCCAAGGCCAACTGTTTCGTCAGCTTTTTCATGAGGCTTCTAGAAATTGTAGGTTGTCCACTACGCCATCTCTTCCGGCTCTGTCCAGCAATCGCAAACAACGTACGACACGGGTAACGCTGAACAGGCTGCGTAATACGTGTCCAAGCCGCCGCAGTTGAGGTAGTGAGAAGAACTCGAGAACTCGTCCCAAGACACGCTAACTTTCACATTGCTTACATGGTGCCGCCACCACACACGGGCAATGGACTGCAGGCAGCGGTGCTCGAAGCCGGATAGTCTAGGTAACTCAACGATACGAATGGGCCAGGTCTCGCATCCGTACAACAGATGCACAACAAACCAGCTCTTTGCTTGAGAGACGAATATCGTGGTGACGCCACAAGTGCCACAGGCTAGAAAAAACGATGCGTGCTCTTGAGATGCGCATCGTAATCTCGTCCCCAACAGCCCTGCCCGCAGTGATACAACTCCCCAAGTAGACAAAGCTCTTCAAAACTCCCAATGTTTCACCACGAAGAGTGAGTGCAGTCACAGGCACCTGTCTGTCTTGAAAGACAACCTTTCACCTGGATGTCGAACAGTACATACCATACTTAGTTTCTTCAATCGCCAAGCGATTTAGTGCAAGTTGGACAGCCTGTGCATCCTCACCCAGCAAGACGATATCATCAGCAAAGTCCAAATCAATAGCTTGACTCATTCATCCATTTATTATGCACGTTAGCTGCAAGTGGAAAACACCTCAACTATTGTGCCGCAATACAAAAGACAAGAAAAATAACAGTGGCACGCCTGCTGAGTCCCCAGTAACGGATGGACATCGTTCCGGAGAGTTAACAGCGGGCTATCGTGCCGTAAAAAGAGTCATAATATGCCTAACGAATGAGATCATGATTGGAGGGGAAGGCTAGGCAGGAGGGGGATGGACAAAGAAACTCACAACATCATTGTGGCCGGTTCCTAACCATATCAGCAAGTGTATCCAACCAAACGGGTTCCTCGTACTTAGGACCCCAACTAGGCAGTCGGGATTCACCAACCGATTCCAACTTCGAAGTGAGGGTTTTCATTTTTCTCGAATAAGTCATTGCTGGACCTCCTCTCTGCCTCTTTCAACCGCACGCCTGGCGCACAAACAATGCATGTCGCGCGAGTTGGTGTGCTGGCATGCCCAATACGTGGCCCAATCATCGGAGTCTGGTGCGTGGTATGATGGTGCTGAGCGGTTCACTCGTTCTTCCTGCACCAAATACGCGGCGTCAAACACGCTCATTGCTCACGCGGTGCTCCCACCAGACAGTAGCTAAGCTGCGAAGGCAGCGATGATCGAATGTGACGGGCCTCTTTATATCTGTCGACTTGATGGGGCAAGTTTCCTAACCATATAGGAGATTTGAACGGACGGCTGCGTTATAAACTCTGCCCTTCAGGGCGTGAGTAATGTCGCGTCTGCGCCACAGGTGGCGGAGATTGGCAAAAGCACCTCGAGCTTTTGCTATACGGTTTGTAACCTCATCTTTAATCTCACCGGTGCTAATATAGCTGCCCAGGTACTTGAATTCCTGAACGACTTCTAGCAGATCACCACAAAGCGTTAGCGCAGGGGTGGGTCCCTGCCAATCTTGGAGAAGAAATTTGCATTTCGATGGAGCAAAGCATAGACCAAAAACGATAGACACCCATTGCTTATCGGTCCAGTGCTGCTTGGCATGTTTGGGAGCTGTCACAGATTAGGGAAATATCGTCCGCGTACTTCAAGTGAAGAAGTTGCTCACCAGGAAGTAGCTCCACACCTAGGTCGTGTCCAACGAATGCTGATTCCATGACTTCATCAACTGCGAAGTTAAATGGGAATAGTGACAGCGGGCAACCTTGTCTCACACCGCTGGTGATAC